GCACATGATGCGATCGAGGGGCCATAAAACATGTAGGACTTTGCAATGCTTGGGGCAGTGGTGCATGTCCGTTGAATTGTGCTGCATTTCTGTCGGCCTGCATGCATGAGATCCATGGCATGCAGTGAAGTGTGGCAGCTTTGCAGCTCGCGGTTTTGAAAGGTGCAACACAGAGCCGAAGTCCTGGCACTTTGTCGCTGACATTGTGCATGCAACAACAGTGTATGTATGTAAATAGTATGAAGTATAANNCAATTGCATGTGTGTATACACTTATATACAACATACACAAATAATACTGTAATATCCATACACATATATGTATGTACTTATATATGTATGTATATATGTACCTATGCATAGACATGTTTCTATGTAGATATATAGACAGACAATGTATATATATATATATATAGATACATGTCCTTTCGCTTGCAGGGCTTTGGAGCTCGCAAGCAGCATGGCCGTTCCTTTGGCACACTTGGGTAGACGACACTTCGTTTCCCAGGCGGCCCTAGAATCGGTCCTGCAAGACCTTGGCCACGACGAGGGTACCAGCAGGAGAAGCATCAAGAGAGCCCGAGACGATGAGATCGACATCAACACAGATTTCGGTCATTTGTTGGGGCACATTGAGGTCGATGTGCAAGACAAGAAGGAAATCAAGAAGCAGCAACTGCCGATCCTCAACATTCGTGCCTTCCTGGCACATCTTGTCTCAGAACCTGGCATGGCAGCCTTCTTCACGAGACGACATGCTGCAATGCCAAGCTCGGCTGAGAAGCCGTGGCGAATCTGCCTGTACTGCGATGAAATTACACCAGGAAATCAGCTACGATCAACAAATCAAAGGAAAGTCCATGGTTATTACATGAGCTTTATCGAGTACGGGCCGGCAGCCCGCTGTCAAGAGGAGTCATGGTACTGCCTTTGCCTTTGTAGAAGCCAGCTGGTGAACAAGATCCAGGGCGGCCTCTCGGCCTTAACACATGCCATCGTGGCCATGCCTGACTTTTCAGCACTGCAGAATGGTTGCCTGCTCACCATGCCCAATGGCGACAAGCTTATGTTTTTTGCTCGCATCGACACCTTCCTTGCAGACGAAAGTGCTATCAAGTTCGTCTTCGATCTTAAAGGTGCTTCAGGCATTTTGCCATGTGGTCTGTGTGCCAACGTCGTGGGGAAGACTGGGGTGGAGCAACACGACACTTCTGGGTCTCTCTGCACGATTGCATGCACCGATGTTCGTCGCTTCATTTTGAGGACGGACGATGACATATATCAGGCACACGAACAGATGCAAGCGAGGCATGGGCGATGCTCGCAGGCCCAATTCGACCAGATGCAGAAAGCTTGTGGCATCAATTTCAACATGAACGGTGTGATCGCAAAGAAAAGCCTTCCCATGGTGCAAACATGTATGTATGACTTCATGCACATCTATTTGGTGCATGGCCTCTTTCATCTAGAGGCTGGCTTGCTGCTGCCACAGTTATACAGTGCAGGTTGCTCACCAGGGGCCATCTTGGATTTCATGAAGTCCTTCAGCTGGCCTCAGAACCAGCAGGGGGTCATCAAAGAAACTCTTCAGTGCTTCCAGAAGAAAGTCGACAAGAATGAGGGCTTCAAAGGCAGTGCTTCCCAATGCTTGAATGCCTATCCCTTACTGAGAGCTTATGTGCTCAGCTTGGCTCCTGCAGGGTTGGGTGCACAGGTGAAGAAAGCTTGCAAGTCGTTTCTGAACTTGTGTCTCGTGCTTGACATGCTCATGGAAGGGAACCGAGGCCTGCCGCTTATCCCAGCAGAACTCCAGAGGCTCATTGTTCAGCACTGCCAAGGGTTTATAGAGGTGTATGGGCCCGACCATGCCATCCCCAAACTCCACTATTCGATGCACCTGCCGATGATGCTTGATGCGAAGAAGACACTGATTTCTTGTTTCACCCATGAAAGGAAACACCGAATGATAAAGCAGTTTGCCAACCACTTGAACAATCCAGGCTCCTGGTACGAGGGCTCTGTTATGAAGGAGTGCTTGGGCAAGCTCGTCCTTTCAATGTCGAGTGGACCATGCACCATGGAAGCACACCTCATCTCGCCAAAACTGGCAAATGACGAGCTGCTGCAGATGCTGGTGCAGGTTTTCGGCATGGCAAGTGCTCATAATGCCCAGGCCGCATCCAAGGCTCAGGTGGCACCCGGCCAGGTTTGTTCAAGAGGCGACTTCGTCCTTTTGAGAGCCGGCGGTGTTGCAGAGGCCTGGTTGTTCTGTCGGTTGGGCACTGGAGAGCTGCTTGTGTTGCTCAGCGAGCTCGAGGCTTGTGGGCGAAACATGTTTAAAAAGAAAGCAGACAATGCCCGATTCCTGGAGGTGGTTGAAATCAAGAGGGCTTGCCTTGTCAAAGGACTGGCAGCCGACACGGTGCAGGTGGTTCCTTGAAAACAGCGATGCACTGCCTGCGAGCATGTTGCCCTGCATGGCGAGTTATGATTGTGTTGCTGATAGATGTTTCTATATACATGTCTCTTGGGTTTTTGATACCGATGTTTTATGAAAAGGGTGTAAATGTATCCGAAACGAATTCTGAATTTCCATGCATGGTTGCTATATAAACCGACGATTCGTTATTGAATTGTGGAGCCGAGTGGCTACTTCAGAAATCAAATTTATAGTTTTCTCTCCCACATATTAATATACAAGCTTCCTCCTTTCACAAACTTGTATTGTCAACAACAGAAGTATTTCAGCAGTGACCTCCACAGTTTCTTGCTCGCTCTGATGTGTTTTTGCCACTACATACTCCTGATTTTGACTGCTTGCTTTTTGCTGCATACACGAGATTGCTACCGTACAACATGCCCTAAATCACTTAGCTAACTATGTTATTCCACTTGCCTATGTTCAACTTAGCTCGCTTGCATATCCTCCACAAGTACGACTTAGCTAACCCCGAACTAACCGCTCTATGTCCTTGGTATGTTCTCTATGTATATACTAACAAGCCCGCCCTTTCAAG